ATACAGGCTACACGGTGTCCAGTTGGAGATCGATGAGCCTCATTCCGTTTCTGGGCGCGGATGCTTACGACCGTTAAGTCTTCGCGTAGAGCCTTTTCTGGTGCTGCACTGAGTGCGGGCTTGGTGGACCGTAGACGTGTCGAAGTTAGAAGTGGCCAAGGAGGCGCAGGCCATGTGTCTTACATCAAGCACGTCAGTCCGAAGTTGTTCGGTCCTGGAGTCCCAGCGTGAGGCCTTCTTGGTGCCTATACCTTACAGTTGTCTTCCCAGAGGCGGCAATGGAGGTCGAGGGGGAGATGTGATTTTCAAGGCCGATCCTAATGTGATCTCCCTCACGAATGTGCCTCGTGTGGCAAGGGCCATGGATGGAGGGAAAGGCCGCAATAGGAAGTAATGCTGATGGCATATGGTGTGTTCGAGCCGGTTGTTAGAATATCCGGCAAGAACGCATCCCCACTGGTGGTGAAGGTGCCTCTAGGCGTCGTAGTATCGACCGAGCCTCAGGAAGATGGGGAGAAGTCTGTCGTACTTGCGGATCTCAACAAGGCCGAGCAGTCTTATGTGAGTGCGAGTCAGCGACTATCGACAAGTATTACGCAGATTGCCGCCTTTGGGGGAGCTGGTGGCCATGGCAATGTCGTTCTGGACCATCCGCATGACTTCACTGTTGGAGATTGTGGTGAAGTTAAACACCTTATCCTAGAGCTCAAGTCTATAGCGGATGTGGGCCTAGTAGGGTTCCCGAATGCTGGTAGGCTGCTTGGTCTGCTCGTACATAATTACGTGAGAATTGTGGTAGGGAAGTCGAGTTTGTTGAGGGCGCTGACTAAAGCGCGACCAAAAATTGCATCTTATCCTTTCACAACCCTCGCACCACATCTAGGAACTCTTCGGTTCACTGACGACCAGGACGGTAGGGTAGTCTCGACCGTAGTCTCTTACAGTTCATACAGGCGGCTATGTCATAGCTGATTTGCCCGGCCTTGTCGAAGGAGCTCACGACAACGTTGGTCTCGGTCATCAGTTCCTGCGCCACATACAGAGGACAACAGCTCTGCTCTATGTGGTAGGGCTATTACCTCTACCGCAATCTGCTCCAAGTATACTAGGTCGACGGTTCCCTAGGAGCTGATGCAGCGTTGAGCACCCTCAGAGCACTCCAGCTAGAAGTCAAACTATACTCTGGGGAGATGGCGGATCGCCCTTTCATAGTCCTCGTCAACAAGTGTGATGGTTTAGGTAAGGCCAATACAGAGACAACTCGTAGGTATACATAGGTTAGGCATCGAGCCAGCACTGGCAGCGGCAAACACCATCGATATGGAGCTCAGCAAGGAAGGGTTCAAAGATGCCGTGGTGGCCACAAGTGCCCTCATGGGTTTCAGCCTGGAACTGGTATGGCAACGGTT